ATATATGGCAAAAGTTAGGGCAATTTTTTTCTCTCTAGTATTAAACATGTATGTTCCACTATGTTTGATGATATAACCATAGGTACTGATTGCATGGTAAGTACCAGAATCTTGGTATTACTAATAAAGCACATTTTACAACAGTGCAAGTGTACACTAATCATTGTTTTACACTAGGATCCACACTAGTCTTGTCATTGTCATTTAAAGGCATTGTGCATGAGTAAGCGCGTGACAAACCCCACTGTGCTTCGAATTTCCCCTATGTACTGCGAGCATACTCGCGCACAGAATTTACACCCTTACGTACCCTCATATGCCTCAACGAGCCTCTAATAGACAGGTTCTTGCAACCGACGATCTTGAGGACATTCTCAGTGAGGAGGCCGAGGTATTCTCTGGCTGAAATGGACAAAGTGACTTTCCGAGTGCTGACCCAGGATTGTCACCCTCGCCGAAAGACTTTCAGCAGAGGCGATCACCAAAAAAGAGGTTCCTATACGCATTACCTTTCTTCTGCATGCATAACGCACACCGCCTAGTTCTTTAAGTAAAATACCAGCCGTAGAACTCACGACGACTTCCACCTGCCATCAGTAAGTGATAGACCCCTGGCTCAATGGTTTAGCTTTCCTGTCTACTAGAGCAAAATTTGCAGCGGCTTACGCCGACTTGATCGTTTCGTGATTATAGCATCTGTGTATTATAAGTTGCCCGCCGCGCGGCAACGTAAACCTATCATATCTCTGTGTGCGGACTTTTTCCACAATCAGAGTACAACGTGAGTGTTGGAAGTTGTTCTATAACCTTACCCCTCCGGAAGTCACTTTTATATAATATCGCCTGCGCTTCGAGATGCAGCGGTCAGCTAATTATGTACCCCATATGAAGACTGTGATTTTGACATTGAGTGCTGGCGTAAGTACCGAAGCATGTCACATTCATTCCTCGCATTAAATGACAACGACACGTCGTCTCATTTGTCTACAGCTTTACAAGTCAGATTCACTGTAGTAGACATCCAGCTAGAGTAAGGTCTGGTACTTGGCATTTCGAAGTACGACGTACGAACGGCATGTCGAGGTAAAAAATCAACAACTTGAGTTTTTGGTGCTTACAGTCCAGGTTCATTTCATTCGGCAGCTATGTAGACACCTGCCAAGTATCAAGCTCGAATCAATATTAGTCGTTATTCGCTAGTGATCAGCGCGCAGCGCTTGACAATTCTGCCTTATCACTTCGAAAGATTAAGATATCGGGTCATAATTATTCCCGACGTCAGAGCAATATTTCTAAAGTTGGACCACATACCCCCCATAGGATTTTGTGTGTAGTATCAACTCCACATCACGATAAACTGGTATTAGCTCTGGCGAGCCTGCCTACCCACAAACCATACCAGGTGGAATTGGGTCACTCCTTACTTGGCGAAAAGACGGCCTTCCTATATCTAACAATCATAAGGTCGCTCCGTCATGGTTGCACATTGACTCTGTCCGAGAGTCTCGGTGCGCGTCCAATACCGAGATGGTTCAGCTTTCGGATGCACCGCTTGAATGATGCCACCGTTGTTCCACATTTTTATACAGTCCTATTGATACTTACAGCACATACGTATCATGGAGTGACATGTCCTCGGCAGTGCAAGGTGGGACCAGTATTGATATAGACATAACGCAGGAAAGGGTCTGTTTTGTCCGTAAATTAATATGGTGAAACACAATCTAAACAACTAAAAGTTTGTTAAGATATGTACGGGTGACGGCCAAGAAGCCGAATTCGGAAGTAAAGACGAGATATACCGGTTGCAAGCGGCGAGACGTTGAATTTGTTATACTAGGTGCTATATCCTGCAAGTAGATATGATCACTTTATGCTTTAACGTCTGCTAATATATCCTCTTCTACAAGTCCATTTCTCAGGTCATGAACCCAACAGTTTGATTAAACGCTTTAACATTACCGATTTGAGCAGCTGAATCGGTCAACAGCCATGAACTTTCTGACGACAGCTCTGAATGAAAGGAAAGCTCTCAAAATTGAATGATATGGGTCGACGTCGTCACCAGGGCAAACCCAGTATCTTATGAAATGGAGGGGATACCCCGACTTCAAATACTCGTGGGAGTTTGAAGTGCCAGCCCGGCAAGACCGCCCAGGCGTCGTGGTCGCTTATGATCAGAAGAACCATGACGTTTCGCGCCGTTGTACGCCCCGCGCTTGTCGGCAATAGCCAAGAAAGCCGATGGACCATGAACTGAGCTCAAAATTTGGCCCTGAGCTGCTGCGGTCGCAGACTAACCCGAATGAGAGACCACAGAGCTCGCGGGAGCGTGATGGATCAACCGTACGTTGCAGGGCGACAATCCGAAGGGTGTTTGCGACGCGCATTGATTTTTGGCAAGCTCAAACCGAGGATGGCGTTCCACGCGCGCGTCCACCTCGTTGTGGCTCAACTGTAAGTTGTAAAGTGAGGAAAAAAATACCGGTGTCACTGCACCCATCGCTTCAAGAGCTCTTCGTCGTCTATAGCGGTTTCGTCAGGGGCGAGCACCACAGGAATCGTCCGAAGGGCGATTACAGGAGCGCCCCCCCTTCGAGCACAAAGTCGAGTGCGGTACGTATTCATTACGATTTTTGAGGAACCAAGAAGCGAGCTCGGAGAGCCTTTCGTTCGTCAAGCCCAGCTTGTGTAGTGGCTGGAGGTCCAAACACGCAGACGCCCAGCGATCGACGGATCGCGTCCTTTGCTTTTGCAGCGAGATCCGACGAGCGGAAGCCGTATTTCGCGGGACGGTCAAGAACCGATCGTGGATGCGCGCACATGGGAGCCACTCTGTGGACAGCAGCCAGCCGCTGCTTCTGTGACTTGTCGAGGTCACTTCCTCCGGAATTCAAGAGTGTGGGAATCGAACACGACATCAGGATAGGAGTAGCCGACTCGTAGTCGACTTCCTTCGAATTCTCGACGATGTAATCCATCGCCCGTAGCGGGCGAGGTGTGTGGTCGGAAGTAGAAATCGTGTCTGTTTTCTTGGATGTGCGAAACTATCGCTGAAAATTCGCTGCGCGGTACTCTGTCACCAAGAGCTTGAGATTTGCTTCCCTTGAAGCCGCGGACGTGCTATCCGAAGTTGCACTGCGTGCAGGGCGACGAAGAAGAGCTCTGTCCGCGGTCGCTCTCGGAACCGGCGAGGCTGGGTGTCTTCCGTATCTTCGGCAGAGGGCTCCTTGAACAGAGAATTTGTGAAAAAGGTCCTGGTGATGTTGTGGTGCCTATGACTCACGAGCCTTGTTCGAGGCGACAGTTGAATGTGAACTGTGGGTGCTCACAATCTCGATGGGGGGGTGTTACAGTGTTTCACGTGCTCTGGTAGAAGGGTGTGGGTCATACACGACGGTGTGATAAAACAATGGTGTGATTTACACAAGATGGTGCGACCGCATAATAGTGTAGCTATACTTAAACAAGAAGTCAGTTTTTGTGACTGGAGCAGCCAGTAGTTATATAGATATAATTAGGTTTTACTATATACATAGCTAAAGTATATAGATTTATATACAGGCGGCTTCGCTGCAACCCCTCCCCGAGAAATACAGTTTGCGTTTTAAGCGGATGAGCTAATTAGCCTTTGGTTAAGGTTGTAATTACTATTGGAGTAAGTAGGTCCGCTATACTTGTAATGGTTCTAAGTATAGAACGAAGGCCACCAACCTTAACCAAGTTTTCTCTAAGCAAAAGACCTACAACACCCCCATCAAAATAATTCCAATTCCACGTCATTCAGCGCAACTTTGAGTGTTCTGACTTATATTTAGCATTTATAGATCTCTGAGCTACTATAGTAATGTTAGTGATAGTAGTAGTTATTGTATCGCAGCGGGGCTGCCGTAGCTTAGCGCTCGAGGAAGCGTAATTTTGGTCACCGACCTATCGTTCTTTACAAGAGCCAATACGAGTGTAGCGGATTGCAATCTGCTAACTCCAAGAGTAGTTACTACCTCGACCAAGGCTAATAAACTCTTCGGTTTAAGTTCAAAACTTATTTTTAATTATTTTTATCTGCGGCAAAGCCGCCTAATTTTAAATGTTTAGATTTACTTAAATATACTAAGTAGATATAGTAAAATCTAAATACATGCACATACCGTATTCTTACTTGGGTGCAGTCACACCATGCACATCTCGTGCTACACACACCCTGTTACCAGGGTACGTGTCACCCCGTAGCATGTATGATGTTATTAGTAGCACTAATGAAAAATACTAATAGTGCAGTAGTAGTGGGTATAGTAGCAGTAGTAGTAAAAGTCATAGTGTGACCAACGTTAATGAATGTACACGTAGTAGTGATCATATTACAAATCTTTTGGTAGTGCTACAATAGTAAAGGTAGTAGTATCAAAATAAATACAAGTAGTGTTTTTTGAGCTGTAATTGTACTACTTTTATTAATAGCTGTAGTAGTAATAGTATTAGTCTAGTTTTTAGGTATTGAGCGCTCATGTTAATCGAAAAATTAATGTTCCTTATGTAGCAATTAATTCTATGTCGAGTCTTCGTCTCCCTGCAGCGTTGCTGTTGGGTGCGTGCGTGCGCGGCTTCCTGTATGCGTTGCCAGGTCTTCACGCAACCTTTTCGTCCCGACCTGAGCTTATTACGCCGATCTCTTCTTTTTACCGCTTTCGAGAAGGCGCATTCCTTTTCCAAACTACTGGATCACCCTACTCCGGAGACGTTTATCATCAGCCTGCGCTGCTCTTCGCACTGCTGTATCCACTGCTTCAGGTGCCTCCAGCGTATGCTCAATATGCTGTATTATGTGCAGTGTTTATTGCTGTTGACATACTGCTCGCCGTGGGCTTCGCTCGCCTTTGCAAAAGAAATTTAAAGCTAGAGGAAGGACGTCGCTTCTATGTCGGGACGGAAGAGATCTGGCTTACCCGCGTGCCCGTCTCGCCACTTTTTAAACCAGACAATTTACCTACAACAGTGGCATTTATCGCTTTGATGAATCCTTATTCTCTGGCATCAACTATTGCCATGTCCTCAACAGTATTCACACACATGGCGATGCTTTACAGCTTGGTTTTTGCCTCGGAAGGTAAATGATGCAAGAAGCAATTGGGGAGTCATCGATGCTAACTGATTTCTATACGTGCGTACGATTCTCAGGTGCCATAGCTGCATCCATGATGTGTGTGGCAGTAGGCACGTATCTGTCAGTGTATCCATTCGTCTTGATGGTGCCCATCGTGCTGATGCTGCGCACAGTGAAACCGATACCGGTCATGCCTTTGATTCTTAAGTGTTTCGCGATGTTTAGTTTTTGGTTGAGCATATTGTTGTACTTATCGTGGAATCTGAGTGGCGGCTGGGAATTCTTTCAGGTGCGTCATGTCTTGATTTGGTACCTACTATTGTCATTACCATCTTGACGTATTTACTCTTTGAAATTAGGAAACATATGTGTGGGTAGCAATGTATTCAGACTTGACCCCAAACATAGGCATTTTCTGGTATTTCTTCACGGAAGTTTTCGACCGGTTTATCCCATATTTTCTCTTCGTATTGCATCTGCACCCACTTATTTATGTTGCCCCGATATATCTCCGCTTAGCGTACGTTCATAAGATGTCTGACCTTATTTGCTATGCTCGCTAATGCAACTGCCAAATATTATATGCTTAGACACCGACCTCAAGCCTATGCTTGTGTTTTAATTGGCATCTTTTCTCTATTCCAAGCGTACCCTTCTTTTGGTGACTTTGGATTTTTTCTCACAATGCTAGCTTTGCACCCGAAATCAATCATGAGTACGTACAACAAATCGTATCCTTATTCAAATATGGCCAATGTAATTTTCTTGTTCAGTGATCGAAAATCGGTTTCTCTACGTACTTGGTTTGGGAGTTGCAACATGTATGTTACCCGTCATGTGGTTTCTTTGGCTATTTCCAGCTTCTGGAAACGCGAACTTCTTTTACAATCAGACGTTGGTTTACCAAATTTTTAATTCCCAGCTGATCACAGCGTTCGTAGGAGCGACTATGAAGCGTGACAAGGTTGTAGAAATATACAAAACAAAATGTTTGAAAGAAAAGACAAAAGCAGGATAGGATGCGGAAAAAGTATGTGATAAGGACATACTGGAGTATTAGTTTGCAAGTGGAATTTTCTACATTTACACAAATTAGAGTTTTTGTTAATGTATTAAATGATATCGTACAACGGGAGCAATATAATCAATCGACTTAAGCAGCAAATTTAAAAAAATGGAGATTACATGCTACCTAAGAGGGTATGACCTTCACTCACGCGCTCAATCTAGCTAACAATCCTGCCGCCATCATTTTTCGAAGTACATTCTTTCGCTTTGTCCGCACTCACTGACCAATCGGTTTTTTAGACCTAGAGCGCCATATCGGGTGCGCTTCTACGTACGCCAATTTATCAGTCAATGGCGCATAAAGTTCACGACATGCCCGACTCTCCTCTGCTGCGTGTAGTGCGCTCAGTGCTTTTCTTGAGCACGCTGCGCATTTCTAATAATATGCAACAATCCACCAACGTTCTTCTTGTACAGCTGCAATTTAGCGTCAATTTCCTTCCATTGCTCGACGCCGAAGCGACGCTGTAGCGACCGCGAGATCATCACTGTACGGGCAAGTTGGTCGATTTTCGCATTCACGACACCAGCTGTAATTGCGCGGACGACCCACTGCTCGACGTCTTGTTCATTTACATCCAGGGCAACAGCTATTTCAGCGTACGGGATCTCTTTGAATCCCGTGGGCAACGTGCACAGCGTAAACAATCGCATGGTGTCAGCCAGCTCGGTTTCTACCGCGCCAATTTCAGAGAAAACTGCTCCAGAAGTTTTTTGGAAAGCTACAAATTCTTTAAGCGTCTTGGTGGATATAATGTCCAGCAAGTCCCAGATCTTACTACCCTGAAGTGCGTCTTGTACCACTGAACTGGCTGCCAGGTCAACACGCGATAGGAAGCTGGCCACAGGATTCTGCAACACAATCTTGACGGCACGCAAGACTTGATGCTTGACTTCCTTTCCTTGATCATATGTGGCCAGATACTTTTCTAATATGGCCAGCACCTTGAGCTCATCTCCGGCCTGTTCTAGCACATCAGCTACCACCAACAAAAGCATACGGCGGTCCTCGACGCAAAGTTTTTGCATGTCCAGTAATGTTTCAAATTGCGTTAAGTAAGGAGCAACCAGTTCAATGTTGTTCGAGCTCCGAGCGAGTGTTAGGACATCCATAAGCGCTTGCAATTGCAACTTGGGCAACATCTTGGCTTTATTGAATAAGGAAGCAGCTAGGCGTAGACGAAGAATAGCGCTGGACTTGACATCCTCGTTAATAATTTGTAAGATTTTTAGCGCCTCCTCTTGCGCTTGGGGGGTTTGTAAGACCACATCGAAAAGCAGCGCAAAGACGCCCTCAACTTCTGCCTCGGTTTCCAAAGCCAGCAACTGCGGCAGCTTTGATTTTACAGCTTCTATGACAGGAGTCAACTGCTTCTTTTTTATTTCCACGGAGAAGTCTGGCAGCGCTGTGCTCGGCAGTAGTTTGGAAACATACGCAACGAGATTCGAAGCCATGGTGGGAGAAACTTAGGACAAGTAAGAGGAAATTTTACCGAGAGCCAACGGTTCGAGTTTAGTGGCAGCAGTACATAAGTGCATTTTGTTGTTAATGAACTCTCGTGAACTGATATACTACTAAAACCAATCAACCAATTTTGCGCTAGTATTCATGCATTTAATCAAATATTAGGATGAAGTAAAACTTTTAAAGTATAGCTCAAACTTCGCGAGAAATTTACAATCTTTTAATTTGTAGCATACAAGTTTAATTTTTAATACAATTGACAAAATTAATATTGGCACCTCGAACCTAAAGTGAGAGAAAATTATTGAAATGGTTTGAGACAGTATTGCTGAACTACCACACAACACAGTGTCGTGGTTGGACCCATGACATCATCAAAAAAATAATTAAGAGTGTCTCCAGCTGTTATGACTATTGGTTTTCAATGTACTTTCGCGAGCCATGTAGTTCTATGTTCCCAGCTTTTGGCGGGCTCGACAAAAGTTCAACAGCTATATATCAATGAGATAAGATGTAGTCTAAACAGACCGCCTATTTAGAGCCCAACGAAACTCACTCATATTTACCGGGACCGCACAATCCATCGTGAGTTGAGTTAAACAACACAAAATCATCGTTTTTAACGGTTGTGATCCGTAAATTCTATCGAAACAGCAATCCGCTGACGCTATGCTGTTCGCACTAACATATGCAACACACAGTTGTAATGTGATGTTCGTTAGAGATGGACTGAAAAGGGGGAGGTTAGCTCCTTGACACCAATGTTGAATTACATATTATCGCAATCTTGCATGTCGACAAAATGCAGACATTAGATCTATTTGAGATGAGATCTCTCTCCTCCGTCATTTAATACCACGGTAAAACATAAGCATTTTTCGCATGGGCAAATATGGAATCATATTGACATAAAGCTTTTAATAAAATGATTTGGGATATGCAGTCTTCATCATCTCTCTCTAGCCTGAGTCATGTCATAGCTTTCTCCTAAAGAGATAAAGGCCGAAGCTGCGCTAGGTGGTAGGTGGTCACGATACTAGGGGTATCTTGTCGAAGTGGGACGTCAAATTTACATAAATTCCCGCTGAGGATACCCATCCACTTCACCAAATACAGGTAACAACCTTGTTGTACCCGCAGGCTCATCAAACGTTCCATTTGAAGTGGGGCTACCATTCTCTCGTGGAGCAGTGAGGTAGAAGTCAATTCTCTACCATTTGGCTCTCGTTAGCTATTAGGATTATGGCGGCACGCCAACTTTTTCTTGAGATCGATGTTAGTCCGAAAGTAAGACGCGTCGGGTCTCAAATTTTCTCCTTGAGCTTTGTCGTGTCCCGTGGGCTCAAGACCGCGCCTCTACGTCAAAGAATAATGAAGCTTGGCTACAAAGAATGTTTGAGACGCTGATCCGTCTGCAACAGAGCTCATCACATTCGATTGGATCGCAATTACAGTGCTTCAGCAGTCCACATAAAGTACATGAGGTATTCGCATTCTCTTTAGAGATTTAAAAGTATACTCTGATCCACTTTTGCTACGGCAATCCATTTTTGGTACGGTCCGATGTATCGTCTTGGTCTTATAGATCAACTACAGGTAATGCTCGTGAGGGTAGATAGTTTGCATATAATAAAAACGTTTTGCCCCACACCATATTTGTGTGTATTTTACCGGCTTCTGGCGTTGGCGTATTGCTTTTGTACATCTTACTCTCAGCCATAGCGTCGCGCACCGTCCGCATGACACTCAATCTCACTAAGATAAAATCACAGCTTTCGCTAAGAATTGTATCCAGGCTCTTGGCAGCAAGTAAAATCTGATTGACAGCCACATTCCCATCATATCTCTAATTTACCAAACCATTCGTGCATAATGGCGGTCAACCTGTAGCGTCATGTACTCGGTTATTTACTACAACCTCGACGAGTGGATGCAACTCGCTCCAACACACCAGTCATTCTGCGCCAGCACTTTGGATGATATCTCCGCCACGCGATCAACGCATTCCGTCTGAATTATCGTTAATAGATGGTCAGCGGCTGACATGTCTAATTTGGTGCCAAGCACCTTGAACAAAGCTAACCAAATTTAAAGCGTGGGGGATCTATCCGACACAATGGCCAATAAAAAATTATGCTGACGAAAAATTTTGTTGGGGGTCAGATTGTCTAGATCTGCACCAGTTACGATGTCACTGAGTGGGTGAAAAGTCATCTGGCTCAGGCGGTCCACAAAGACCACGATGCCGGTATTGTTGGACGCGTTTTTTGAAGCACTCAAAATTCAGACTATACTTTTGACCTACCAGTACTCTTACAGACATGCCATAGGTGCCATCGCATGCAGTGATTTTTTAGACCGTTAAAAATTGATCACACGAACGCATATGTGACTGCCCACTTATACATGTTAAGACATCAGTACGTGCTAAGCGAGCAATATGCCGTTCTCTTCCGACGTGGTACCTTACCACGTGTCTTATACAAAATTCGGTACATGATGTCCCCAGCATCAGACATCACTACACGCTGAGTGTCGTGTGGGTCGGTAATGTAACACAGCAAATCTTGAGATAGCGCAAAGCGGTGCAATCGTGCAATCGCGTGTCTCGATAAAACGGCATTTGAGCTCTCACGATTCAGCTTTTAGAAAGGCAGCATTTGTTGAGTCTGACCCGTGCGCTGCTCGTAATAACTCATTAATCGCCGACATCATCATCGTGACATGCAACAATTCCTGGTCGGTGCGACGCGAAAGCCCTTCCGCCACCACATTAAGCCGACCCAGCTTATGCCTAAACAAAAAGGCATACTTGGCAAAGATTTCAGCGAAGTTGGCCACTGGTGCGGTGTTCAATTGGCGATCGAAAAAGATAAGGTGTAGCTCTTCTGGCGTGGGTGAAACTCTTGGGAGTAATATACCCACTTTTACTATGCATTAGAAGAAGCGCTAAAGCGCTAGGTAGTCGTCTGCTGCTGGAAATGATCCGCACTTCATTGATATATGCCATACAATTGACATCTTTCAATTCAGGAAAGATACTGAGTCGTATGCAGTGGACACGAGTGGTCACTCAGGAAGTTTGTAAATAGATCGAGTAATGCCCGGAACTGGCCTTTTGAAAACGAATGAATCCTTGGTGGGTATGGCGTGCAGCGGGGCCGTCGTAGCTATACGCTTAGAGGAACTTAAGCTAAGGTCACCATACTTACGTTCAGTCCAAGACCCAGTACGAGTGGGCTGATCGCAATCCGCTGCGTCCAAAAGTGTTTGAAACCTTAGCCAAGGTAAAGGGACTCTTCCGTTTAAAATTGAAACTGTATTTAATTGTTATGATTGCGGCAGAGCCGCCAAAATCGAATACCCTAGGCTCTCCTGATTAATAAAGCAATACCTAATTAATATAGTACTTAGTATAACTGAACCTAATTAATATAGAAAAATGCATTACTACTGGCAATCCTGCCACATGGTAGCTTCTTGATTCGGTTTAGCCACACCACTGTGTGATTACACCAACTTGTGATATCCATACCTACGTACGGTCGCACCATCCGCCCTTTCATACAAGGGTACGCGAAACCCCGTTACACTGATTCAGATCAGTAAATTGGGCAGCAAGCGACACACTCGCATTCAGTCATTTGAAACGTGATTGAAAACCCCAATCCGATCATCATGTGCCTCAATATCGTCACGCGACACTTGATATCGGCTTCTGCACCCACTCGTGCGGAGAATTACAAGGTAGCCCACGTCGCGTATTCAGTGGAAGTTATGCCAACAACTTTTTAATCGATATTGGAATAAAGCGACGCGGACAAATTATAAGCATTGTGCGACTCAAAAATAAAGTCACTTCACAAAAACGGGACGCAATAATTTGCTCAACTACCAAAGAGGCGCAAAGCGATTGGGCGGAGTTTAATGCTTCGAGTCAAGGAAACACGGGATGAAGAATTGACCGCTATAAGGCGCGACTTGTGGCCAAAGGGTTTTCTCTGATCTATTGAGTTGGCAGCGAGGAAACATTCGCGACAGTAATGAAGTTCACCTCGATTATAATCATATTAAGCATGGTTGCCAAGTACGGGTTGATGCTGCATCAAATGGATGTGATGACCGCTGATATTAAAGGGGTATTAAATAGAAAAACTCGCATGCAGCAACTTGAAAAATATATTAGCGCAAATAATCAAGTCCATGTTTGCAAGCTCAAGCGGTCGCTTTACAGTCTCATGCAATCGATGAGAATGCTGAACACCACTTTCGACAAGTTCGGGATCAAAATGAGCTTAGCAAAGGGTGAGTCGGCTCACTGTGTTTTCATTATGCACATTGATGGTATCGTAATTATTGATGTGCTGTACGTAAATGATCTTATTATCGCAAGTAGCGACAACATGCTTCTACTCTCGTCTAAATGTAGGCTTAGTTATCGCTTGAAAAACCGATCTCGGTAAGCTCAAGTATTTTCTCGGTATGAAAATTGTAACAAAGTCAGATATCTGGTTAAGTTGCAATATGGCATACAAGGTTTCATAAGTTGGTTCTAAGCAAGTACGGCATGCAGGACAGCAAACCCGTCAAGACGCCTCAAGATTTAGGGCTCAAGATGACATGGAAGATGTGTGAAGGCGGCTGCAAGCAGAAAGATACGTGCCAATAGAAGCTGTGTTGGGGGTATCATGTACCTTATGGTTGCAACGTGCTAGCGGTAGCGGGGGTTAAGCCAATTTGTTGCACATCCGAGTACGACGCATTGACAAGCTCTCAAGGGCATATTACAATAACTTAAAGCAACCCAGATATATGGTCTTCACTTTTCACACAGCAGATCAGCGAAGCTGCTTGGGTATACATATGCGACTAGGCTGGAGAAATTGGGTCTCTTCGTAGTACAAGCGGCTAAGTGTTCATCTTAATTAATGGATGTGTTAGCTGGGGAAGTAAGAAGCAACAAAGTCCTCAATCGAGGGGGTACATGGCGCTATCAGAGGCTTCTCAAGAAGCCATGTGGCCATAGGTTTATGTGTGAGCTTGGTAAAACGAGACTCAATCATTCGGTCAAAATATACGAAGGCAATCCAGATTTTATTACTCTGGCTAAGAATCCGGAATTTCACGAGCGCACGAAGCATATTGACATTCGTCACCACTTTGGACGAAGAAAGTTCGAAGACGGTCATGCCATTCCTGAGCACTGCCCTGCACAAGATAAGTTGGCCGACATGATGACAAAGCCAATTGTTTCGATGCAGCTCGACATTCTTCGTGCGAAACTTGAATACAAGAGTCAACACTGTCGAGTTAAGTGGAATGTACCTCGACGGTATGTCTCGACCAGCGGATACTAGTCAGTTCTCACCGGTAATGTCAGATTGCGCAAGTTTTGTTTTTTTACGCCAGCCAAGATATCAAGTGGAGGCTATCTTTTGGAGCATCGAAGGTACATAAATTCAGAAATTCAGTATAACATTTGGTAGATATTTCGAGACAGGTATAGAGGTAGCACGGCGAACTAATGATCTGTAATACATTCACTCTGCATCTTGCCATCTAGTGATCACCTCAATCTTTCTATAGATGCATCTCGGAATTTCGGTTTTTGTTTAAGTCTAACCAACTGTATGGTTCGGATCACGTTGACCTGAAAGCGATACACTTTGAGAGATTTGTCAAGATGCATTGGTGAAAGAGCTTATTCGAATTGCTACGATTGTACGAAGTTCTAACGGAAGGGATATTGCTTTTGCACGTTTGCAATCGCTTTAATGCATTTAGATCAGCAAGAGTAGCTTCAAGCTATTGCGCGACATTTATCGGTTAGTACGACTTTGTTGCCAACTTTATAGCTCAGTTTTAGAACCACTGAATCGCTTCCATGTCCTTGGCTCAAACGATGTTGTTGAGATAACTCGCGCATAAAATACAATACTTGGAAATTATGGCTGAGGTGTACATCCATCTAACGTTGGGCTTATTGTAAATATGAAGGTGCGTACACTCAGCGGTTAACCAAAATATTCAGAGGTCACTAGAGACACGCTGCCTATGTAGCGCAAGCCGGGCGCACAATCTACTTCGGATTAGAGTACTCTCGATCTCAGGTACGGCAATATGCTACGACCTTCAACATTGAGCTCTAACATGTTTATCAAATAATTAAAAAGGTTAAAAACTCACATTAGTCATTAGTGGCTCTCATGTCGATGAAGGGTCGAATAATCATCAAAAACAAATCGTGTGTCCAGCAAATATTGAGTAGGTTCAAAAGACTTACGAGTTCTTGCATATTGTGATTTTTTATAAAAAGTGCATGGTATTACACAATGAAAGAGCAGATTTTCCAAGAAGAATATGAATCTTATTATGCCCCCATTCGAGAATATAGTCTTCATATCGTGAATGGCTTTACTTCAATAACAGAGAGCAATTAGTCCTAAGGTCCATGAGCCTGACCTCCACCTTGATGTTCTAAAGGGTATGAGAATGTTATGAGCTTCTTCCAAAACGTAGCATACCTGCACTTGGCAACCTTACCTTCATACCAACACATGCATGCGAAGGTAATATCAGTCGAATAGCTTTTGTAAATTTCACCGTGTTTTTTCGCCTAAATTACCTCTTTAAACTAATATCCATTATGGCACGCCAGCCTTTATGAATGACTTCATTGACCCTATTTCGCCAATACAATAAATAAATTGGTGAACGAAACTTATGTGTTAAATTATACAGGAAATATGACTGTATTATTTTTGCAAAACTGCCACTAAGTTAATACGACATAATGGCGCTGAGAAAGCTGTATTATATGTACACAGCGGCAAATAGGCACTTGATTACGCCGATACAAGCGCCTTTCACCGACTTTAAGATGCAACGGCAGTTGCGTGTGCTCTCGGCTGATACACAAAGCAAGAAGTTTGTGGCGCTCAATTCAAGCGACAAGCCCCGCATCACTCATGCTGAAGCTCAGTCAGTCACCGACAAATCAAACGATACGGATGATTATGATAACGAAGATGCAGAGGAAACTGTGGTGATCGATTCATCGAATTATGAGATCGGCGGGCCTACCCGCGGGGGGAAATTTAAGGAGCCTACAAGGTTCGGGGACTGGGAGCGAAAGGGCCGTTGCTCAGACTTTTGAACAGAGAGATTAAACAATAAAAAGCTTATTATTAAAGTCCATTTAGAACAAATCGGTTTGATCTTTAGCCATAATAAGTAAGATTTTAAAAGATCCCCACTTTATGTATCTACAAAGTCGATAGGTTAGATAATATTCTGAATTTAGCCCAGGTTTATTTCAAAGTGGCTCTCGACGGTTTGGCTCAAATCGACCGGGTCCAGCCACCGATCGTCATTCTAGAAAGAAAGTTAATACGAAGAACAAGGCAGAGATGGAGAAAGTTCAAGTTTACATGGACAAATGGGCTAAGGATCTAGAGAAGTTTCCAGTACTTCAGCAGGCACAAGATGCCACAGGCGTTGAGAAGCTGTATCTTGTGGCGGGTGGCGCGGCGCTTTTGCTCCTGCT